CCACAGATAAACCACAGATACACCAACAAAAAACCACAAATAAACCAACGAAAAACCACAGATACACCAATAAAAAACCACAGATAAACCACAGATATATATATATATATATATATATAAGTATAACCACAGATAAACAACAGATAAACCAACAAAAAAACACAGATAAACCAACAAAAAACCACAGATAAACCACTGATAAACCAACAAAAAACCATATTGAAACATTTTCATAAACAATTGTAAATATAGAAGTTATATACATATCACACGAAGACAAACCCAGAATGTTCAAACAACTTTCTCCCTAATTCACATCAAATATATACACTCAAATACCAAAGCAAATATAAGAAGAAATTACAAAAAAAATCCAAGCAGAGAATGCATTATCATTCTTTGGACACACGACCTCACAAACGGCAGCAATATGCATTCATTGTCTCTTCCTTATAGATACACAGAAAGAATTAGTTAGATGATAAGGAAGAAACACAAACACATAACATCAAATGTAATAGAAAAAAATTAATAAATTAAAAAATAAATAAATCATGTTTTTACAGTAAAATTATCTTTCAATTTCTCTCACAAAACAAGTTGGAAACTAAAATGGAAAACATTTTTCTAAACCGAAAATCAGTAAATCATAGATTTAGTATCAATCTATGAAACTCCCACAACAAAAACAAAAAAAAAAAAGAAGAAAAAGCTAAACAAGTAAATCACAACTGTGGATCCAAATAATTTAGTAAAGCACACCTTTTCGATTCCCAGCTCCTTATGGTGACGGTGGCACCGACGGCGGGAGAAAGGAATCGGACAGAGAGAAGATCTCGAATCGAGGGTGACGTTAGCGACTGATTCGATAGCGATGAGGATGCAAACCTCCCGCCAGTGGCATAGGCGGAGAAGCTCTCGTGGATCTGTTGGACACCTTCATCAAGTCAGTCCTTGTATTTCACAACCTTAATTCTAGTGAAATCGGTCGGTGGAGGAAAATTAAAAAGGGGCTTCGCAGGGGTGACAGGCGGCTACAAGGGATGGTGCGTGAAAGACGGTGGTGAAAATTTATTTGCGTGAAGAGGCGGGCGGTGATGGAGGAAACATCACAGAAGATAATTAATAATTAATTAAAGGAACCAAAGTGGTATTGAAACTTATAATCTCGTCAATGTGATTTCATGGAACCTAATGTGTGATTATTTTTTTTAGCGCGTATAATGGGCTATATAAAAAGCTAGGATGGTACGGAGGGTAATTTTCTCATTTTTTTTTCGACTCCGCACATGGGCCGATAAAACAACAGATCCTATAGATGAGTTACATGGTAGCGGGCCCATTAAAATTCAAATTCAACCCTCTTCAACTTTGGGCTAAAATCAAGTGTTATGCCTATTATGTGAAGCTATAGGCCCATATGATATTAAATTAATTAATTAATTTATTTATTTTTTTTTTTTTGGGAAGGGCATGTTACTTTAGCTTACAACTTGGGCCTTCTCGCCTCGCCTCGCCTCATGCATTAAATTAGATTTTAGTTTTTACTATATTAAGGGCACGCTTGTTTATGAAATAATTTGCTCACATTTATTTCATACGCAAAATCTAACTCAACTTTAACTCAAGGGCACGGCGATGGAGAATCCGGCTGAGTTGGGATTTGACACGGCGATGGAGAATCCGGCCAATGGCCGGCCACCAGACGAACCTCCTGACACGCCGCTGCTCTTTAAAGGTACTAAGCCCTCTTTCCGGGACATCACTCTTCTTTCGAAGCCGTTTCCCCCTCCGCCCCATAAGCGAGATCTGTTCAAAGAACAAAAGGCGAGGATTAAGCTCATCGACAATGATCGATTGAAGCCAGTCTTGGAGCTAGACCCGGATTATTACGCCTCAGTGTGCCGTCCGTATGAAGATGGGCTGGTGGTTCGACTATTAGGTAAAAAAGTCTCTTATTTCTACATGAAAGAGGGGCTTAAGCGTTTGTAGAAACCTCACGGGCATCTTGAGCTGATTGATCTAGCAAATGGTTTTTTTATGGTGAAATTTACAAGAGAAGATGATAGGGACACAACACTAAATGGGGGTCCTTGGATGCTTTCAGGACATTATGTCACAGTCCAGAAATGGACTCCTCAGTTCAATCCCTTTAATGATGTGATTGAAAACACCTTGGTATGGATTCGTCTTTCAGGGTTAAATCTTGCGATGTTCGATGAGAACATTATGTTTTGCCTGGCATCTATGGTGGGCACTCCTGTTCGGATAGATATTAACACCTCTAATGTCGAAAGGGGAAGTATGCTCGAGCCTGCGTCCAGATCGATTTGAATCAGCCAGTGGTTGGGCAGGTGGGTTTTCAGGGAACTTGGTACAAAGTGGAGTATGAGGGCCTTTACCTTCTATGCCCCATATGTGGTCGATATGGCCACAACCGCAACTCATGTTCTTTTGTAAAGCCAGTGGAGGATGAGGGTACGTTGCCACCACCTGATAAGGGTAAATCCATTAGTTCTGACTATGACATGAAGCCCTCAGCTGAATTACATGGCGATTGGCTGGTAGAACAGAGGAGGAGGAGGGTAAAACCGAACCAAAATGTAGGTAAGAGCGCGACGGCACCTCCGAGTAGGACTGCTCACAACATGCCGAGTAAGGAGAAGCCTAACTCTCAGAAACCTGTTAATATTGCTACTCCCAGCCACTCTAAAAAAGTTGTACCTGGTAGCTATAGAAAGGGTACTCAAAATCAGTTGCAATTGGTTGAAGTTGAACCTACACACGTTTCGGCCAAAAAAGGCGTCATTCTGGAGGCGCTAAGGGGGCTAGTTCTTCACAGGCCCAAGACATTACTTCAACCTCCAAGGGGGTTACCCATGCCAACAAGTTTGAGTGCCTAAATTCGATGACGGGAGACATCGGTCGGGAGATGGGTATGGAAGTAGAACAGCTCAATGAAAGGCAGGAATTGGAAGCCCATTCTAGACCTCCGGAAGTGGTGCCAGGAAGCCGGGTCTAAATTACCTCGCCATCAGTGTTATGTATCACACGCCGGTCAATTCAACAAGACGTCCATTGTTAGTGGGCGATCAAAATCTGGATGACAGGTGTCTACAGGTGTTTAAAGATATCAGTGTGTTATCTTGGAATGTTCGTGGGTTAGTCAACAAGTTCTCGCAGAGACAGTTGAAAGATCTTCTTTTTCTACATCGACCGACTTTCTGTTTTGTTATGGAACCTTAATGCCTTTTCGAGAGGCACGTCGTTTGGTTGCATCACTGTGGTTATGATCGTGTTGTTGTGTCAGAGGCGACAGGTAGAAGTGGTGGCATTTGGCTTCTGCAGAAAATAAGACACCCATATTTGGTGTCTGTTCTACACACCTCGAACCGGACTATTTCTATTTGCATCGGGCGAGGAGGTTTTAAGTGGGCGCTTACGGGGCTTTATGCATCGCCAACGTTTCGCGAAAGGCTTAGTGACTGGGATAGCCTGAAGGTTGCTCGAGAGTCTTGCGAGGGACCATGGTGTGTCATAGGTGACTGGAACGAGGTTACGGGCCCATCCCAATCAACCGGATGTTCGTTTTCCCAACATAGAGCAGATATTCTCAATGGCGTGCTGCAATATTGTGATTTGACAGTTATTCAGAGCATTGGTCCTCCGTTTACTTAGAGGAGATCTTCCACAGGAGTTAATATGCATTCCCAGAAATGCCTGGATTATGTTGCTGCGGACACAAAGTGGATTGGCTTTTTTCCCTTCGGGATAGTGGAAACGTTAAATAGAGGGAATAGTGATCATAACCCGTTCATTTTGCGATGCAGTCGAAAGCCGAACATTCAGGGGCTTCCTCAACCGCCATTTCGTTGGCACGAGGCATGGGCAGATCATCCCGATTATTTAAAGGTTCTTACTGACAATTGGCATCTGGGGAACGGCGATTTGTTGTTCAATATTAATTCCGTCAGGGAGGCTTCAATTTCGTTTAATCGGACTTGCTTTGGTAATATTGGGGCCCGTAAGCGTATAATTCAAAGACGCATGTTGGGCATCCAAGGCATCCAAACTCGAGTTGATTCGGCGCGACTTGCTATCCTTGAGGGGCAACTACTTACGGAATATAATTCCATACTCCACCAGGAAGAACTCATTTGGTTTTAGAAATCTCGAGAAAAAATTCTGATGCACGGGGACCGCAACACTCGATTCTTCCAAACAACTGCCAAAATCCACAAAAATAAGTCGGCGATTCATGGTCTTCAAGTTAAC